GGGCGCGTTGTCAGAAGGTCTTCTCTCTCACCCCTTCTAGAGGCTTGGCAGTAAGACTGAATTGGCCTTCTGACCGGGCAGCAAGTGATCCTACAAGACAGATTTTAAACTTTTTACACTGAAGAAAGTTTATAACAGTGTAAATGCCTCAGTACCTTTTTGTTGCCTTGTGATTTAGGGAGTAAACCAAGTATAGATTATTAAACTACTTGCTTACACAGAACTTGAATCTTAAACTGTATTTACTTATATTTTCAGATACTATAATAGTTGACTAGTAACTAACACCTTATTTTCTCCTCAGCATTGATCTGCTGTATACTTTAGACTCTGAATTTAGAATTGGGATTGAAGTATACAAAATAGGCTCTTAGCAAATTTTTAGACTTGGCTGCCTAATCTGGTAGGTTTAAACAGTGTCTTTGAGATTTTTTCTTGTACAGACAAGGAAGGAAATCTGAGAGGAGGGGGGAAAAAAAAGAAGGGATGGTAGTATAAGGAGTACAGAATGAGGAGAGGGAAGAGAAAAATATGGAATTAATAGAGAAAATGTTACATGGCTTAATATAAGGTTTCCTGTAAGAAATCGGCATTTCAGAGATCACAGATATTTAATGAGGCAAAATATTACTGTTATTTACATATAACAATATTACATAAGTATTTAAATGTTTAATAATTTAAAGATAAGGGAATAGGGATCTGATGATATTCATACTAATTGCACTAATGTTCTTGGCTGCTGGAGGGAGGGACAATGTATCAAGGTAGCAGACAGACTCCTTACAAATGAGAGCAGAAAACATATTGCTTGCTGTTTCTGTTATCCTACAATAATAATTTAAAATGCTAATGATTTTATAAGCCTTTGCTCCTTTGTATTTTTTAGTTTTGACTCTTTATTCTTTTTCCTATATAGAGCATTATAAAAAACATAGGCAAATTTATTTCTTTAATGTTGTATGATCCATATCAACTTTCTCTAGCATTTTTATATGAAGTCATGATTGGTGTGGAGAGGATCAGGACTTCTGCCCCAAATTAATTTTATGCATTGAGTTGCCTCTATATTTGATTGTCCCTGGGGATAAAACATGCAGAGAGCATACATAGTCCATACAAAAGCAAATATATATTTGGCTCTGAGTATATACACTTGGCTGCTGTGTGAGCTGAGCTATTTACTGATCTTGAGAATATATTTTCTCTAGACTTAGAAGGAGCCCTAAGGAACCCTGAGCTCTACTCTATGTTGCTTTCTTAGGAAGGGACATTCCCTAGACTGAAAGCAACCCCAGATTCCTTTTCCACAAGGGTCTGCGGGTTCTGCAGGGATTATTCTGGAGGTGACATGTAGAGACCAACCAGTAAAGACATAATGGGAGAACAGATCACAGTGAATCCAAAATAGGAGTACCAGTGGAAGCAGTTCCCTTTGTTGACTCTTATAGAATGTTCAAAACTATTATGTGCCTCTGGAAGGGGGAATAAGAATAAGGATACTGGTTTCTCATTTAAGTGTGCTAACAATAATTATTAGGTATTTACCTTCGTATCTACTAGGTATACTGCCTGTCATTCTAAGAAAATTACAAAGGATATATCAGGATGGCCCATACTATCCAACAGTTTTGTGAGATATCTAGGCAAATAGTTAAAGTAGGAAGAATATACTAATAGACTCTTCCTTATACAGTATATAGAATGGACATTATAGATAAGCAGAGTACCTTTAGATTGTCTCTTAATAAGCTAATTTCTTTAAAGAGGCCATGTTTTGGTTAATGATTCAATAGAGATCATATTGTGTGCAAACTTTTTATAAACTTGATTAAAACAAACAAGGAGCTCTTGCCCTCATTTTCTGAAAGGAAACACAGATTCCATAGCTGATTGGAAGAGTGGTGGCCAGTGACCAGAGGCCAATGAAGAAGAGAATTTGGTCAAATATCATGCCCTACACACTTTGAACTTGCATTTATTAGAAACCCAACAATAAATTATTTTTTCTATTTTTGTAATTCTTTTGGAAACGCATTATGTGTCTTTTAGTTCAACAAATATTGAATTTAAAATTTTATGCTAAGAGTTATGAATAAGGCATAGTCTCTCTTTAAAAATTTAATTTAATGGACTCAAGAACTCACCTTCAAAATATTATCATTACCATGGACAGTGGTGCAAGCCTGTAATCCCAGCTACTTGGGAGGCTGAACTAGGAGGATTGTGAGTTCAAGGCCAGCCTTGGTAATTTATCAGAGACCCTGTCTCAAAATTAAAAAAATAAAAATAAAAAAGGAGACCTGGGATGTAGTTCAGTGGTAAAGCACCGATGGGTTGAATCCCCAGTAAAACACACACACAACAGAGCTATCATTTGTGTCAGTTCTAAAACTCTGGTTTTTTTTGATTGTTCATTTGTAAGAGACACACAAAGTCCTTTAATAAGGATTTTTGCTTACTTGCTAGACCTGACAAAGACTTCACACTGTATTATCAGTGGCTCCAATGTAACATTTGTGTTCCTTACCAGATTTCTACTATGAAATTAAATAGAGTACTTAAGAAACTGTCTTCAAAATTGTCAATTTAAAAGTTTGGGAAACATTAACCTGTATATTCTTTAGGGTTTGTTAAAAAGTTTACTGAGAAGTATATGTAGCATACAGAAAATGTAAAATATATAAGAAGAATGTAAAGAACAACGACAAAGTAATTACCTTTGTATCCATTATTTAGGTTAGGAAATAGAACACATCCACACTCTGAAACCTAACTTTAAGCACCAGTTAGGTGACTCAAACACTTGTTTTTCTTCATTTTTTACATTTAGATTATCTTATTTGTGACTAAATGTAATATAATCTGAAATTCATAACCATATATTTTTAAATTTTTATAATAATTATTTAATAATTAATGCATAATAAGATAGCCTGTGTATAAAATATGTTTAGAATGCTCAGAAGACTTGATTATAGTTAACTGTGGAGTGATTTGAAGGAGTACTTCAGGTTTTACAGATTATTTGCTTTTTAAAATGGAAGGGTGGGGGTGGGGAGAGAAAGACAATAGCAAGTGCTTACAAGATTGTGGAGGAAATTTAACATTTATGGGAATGTACATTGGTACAATCATTTCAGAAAATGCAGACAGTATTTTCTAAAGTTGAGCAAATGAAAAGAATACATGCATTATGATTGGTGGTCTACCAGTCAGTTGGCTCTGTGTGTGTGTGTGTGTGTGTGTGTGTGTGTGTGTGTGTGTGAGAGAGAGAGAGTGCGCGCTCCTCCGCATGTGCGCACGCATGCTAGTGCTTGTTAATAGTTGGAACTACCAATGGTCTAAAAAGTTAACTTTGAAAATTCTTCAATATTTAACAATCAGGATAAGATGAGCTGTAGCATACAACCCAATAATTCTATTCTTAGATAATGTATATATAGTGGCCAATAGACACATACCAAAGTTGTTTATAGCAACTCTTTGTAATGCTAAAAACTGAAAACACCTCAAAAGTCTGTTAACATAGAATAGGTAAGTTGTGGTACATTCATGTAATAGAATGCAGGAATGATGATGATCGACTTTTTAGTCTCTAATTGTACATAATATTAGCAATGGATTCAGAAATAGAAAGTTGAAACCAGACACAAAAGAATATAAGCTTTTCAATTCATGTAAAGTTAAAAAGTATGCAAACTAACCTTGGGGTTGTTTATCATCCTTATTTGAGGCATTCTGAGTGCAAGGTGGCACAAAGGACCTCTTGAGGTTCAAGTTATATTCTATTTCTTGATTTGAGTGCTATTAACTAGGATATTTTCAACTAGGGAAAAATTATTGAGCTGTGTCTTATGTTTTGTATACTTTTCTGAATATATGTTTTATATTAACAAAAATGTTTTGATTTTTGTTAGGCAAAAAAAATTTGATTTATATAGGGCAAAAAAAGCCTAGGGGCAAAGATGAGATTATTGAGGACATATGTATAAAATAAGAAGAAAAGAGAATAGAACCATGGGAACACAAAATCCACATACACATTCCTGTTCTTCCCCATTTTCCTTATGATCCTTTCCAGCTTTCTGTATGAAAGCATGGCAAAGGGAAGGATAATACTAAGAATAAAATTTCTATTAGGGTGCAGTTGCTCTCGTAGCATTCTGTTTCCAAGGGGATATTTGGACTGAATTAGATTTTGAAAAAGTTAAGGGTTGGAAAATGAAAAACTACTGTGATGAGAAAGACTACCTAGAGACAGGATATTTAACTAAGTAGAGAAAAGCAACATTTTTTCTAAGCCTTTTTAGTTTTATTAGGTCCCAATAAATGCATTGTAATTATGTCATTCTCCTTGATACACTGAAATGATATGCTTTGTGAATTATTTGATTTGAGAAGGAAAGAAAGAAAAAATAAGTACTTAAGAGATCTTTCCTTTCTTTCCTTCTTTTTTGTTTGTTTGTTTATTTTTCATTTTTAAGAGGTGGGGTCTCCCTATGTTCCTAAGACTGGTCTCAAACTTCTGGGTTCAAGCAATCTTCCTGCCTCAGTGTCCTGAGTAGTTGGGACTAAAGGTGCATGTTGCTGTGCCCAGTTGAAAGAATACTGTTTTGTTTTGTTTTGATACCAGGGTTTGAACTCAAGGGCACTTGACCACTGAGCCACATCCCCAGTCCTATTTTGTGTTTAGAGACAAGGCCTCACTTGTTTTTGCTGAGGCTGGCTTTGAATTCAGATTCCTCCTGCCTCAGCTCTCCGAGCTGCTGGGATTACAGGCATGTGCCACTGCTCCTGTCCTGAAAAAGTACTTTTAAAAGCAGGGATATATTCTCAATTCAATATTATGCCTGTGGCTGATTAACACATAATAGTAGAAAATTGAGTCTATTAATCTGAACACCTATATACTTATCTCTGTTTTTTTCAGAAATGGCAAAAAGTCTTTTGAATGCAACATCCTTGTCTGCAAGGACAAAACTACTACATCAAGTGGGAGTATCACTTTATAATACTTCTCATGGCTTCTATGAAGAAGAAGTAAAAAAGACATTGCAGCAGTTTCCTGGTGGATCCATTGACCTTCAGAAGGAAGACAATGGCATTGGCATTCTTACTCTGAACAATCCCAGTAAAATGAATGCTTTCTCAGGTATCATCTTTTCTAAAATAAAGAATGACACTTAATCTTACGTGCTATCACATATTTTGTCTTTGTCTTGTGACTGAATCTTCAAAATCTTGGTGCTCTTTGTAGAATGCATGCAACCAAATGAAACTCTGTTACATGAACCAGGAACATTTTTACTAATGTTAAAATGGTATCTTAATGTTTTAAAAAGAATTGTGAACACAGATATTGATAAAAAGGACACTGTTAAATCATTCTTATTTTTCCCATAATTATATTAACTATATAAAAACTTTGTTTGTTTTCAGCTAATGCCACTGAGAAACAAGAAAGAGAAAGTTTCAAAGATTTTACTGAAACTGAATAGAAAAACCCATAAATAAAAAAAAAATTTGCTTACATTTTTTTAATGAATTGAGATAAGACTGTCATTGTTAATTTCCCTCCCTTGCCTACAAAGTGTTCATTTTAGAAAAAAAGGCACTCCTTTTAAAAAATTTCTTTTAAAATTTTTAATTGTCATATATATGTAGTACAGTGTGATAATTTGATACATATATTTAATATATAATGTTAAAATTAGAGTATCATTTTCTTGTGTTGAGACCTTCAAACTCCTCTTAAAATTATTTTGAGATATAAAATGTTATTTCTTATAAATACATAATGTTATTTGTTATAAATGTATTATTTATATATATTAAACTATATATAATAAAATAGTTTTATATATGTTGCATATAATGATTATTAACACTATAATAAATTATTGTTCTGTAGCATTTACCAAACTATTGAGTATTAGAACTCATTTTTTCTCCAATTGAAACACTGCACTGGCCTATCTGTTGACTCTTGCCTAACTCTTAGATTCTGATGAATAACTTTTACCTATTAGTCAAAATTCTGAGCATATAATAATTTTATATTTAAGAGACATGGAGACCAGAACGTGGTAATTTTTACTAAAGCTCAAATTTGAATCAGGCTACCATCATGTTATGTAAGAGGTATCGAATAGCCTTCTTGACCACACATTATGTTTCAAGGTGATTTTGTAATCTACTTGTCAGTTATGCACTGCATGGGGCAGAATAGATTCTATTCTTTAGTAGCACTTGAATATTGGACTCTCTTAGCAATTTTATGTGTCTATATATAATTATCATTATAACTGCAGATATAATTCAGTAAGTTGTAAACTTTGTAAATACCAGTAGTGAGTCTTTATAACTCACAACTTTTCTCTCTGCTTATCAGAATTCAGAGGTGTTTTTCTTTTCTTTTTTTTTTTTTTCTTTTTTGCTACTGGGGATTGAATCCAGGAGTACTTAACCACTAAACAACATCCCTAGCCCTTTTTTGTATTTTATTTAGAGACAGGGTCTCACTGAGTTATTTAGGGCCTCACTAAGTTGTTGAGACTGACTTTGAACTCGAAATCCTCCAGCCTCAGTTGGGATTACAGATGTGCGCCACCACACCTGGCCAGAGATATTTTTCTAGGTCAGTGCTGACCAATAAAATATAATACAAAACCCAAATGTGATCTGCATGTGTATTTTAAATAGTCTAGTAGTCATCATTAAAAAAAGTCAGAAACAGATAAAATTGATTTTAAAAATAATACCTTTAATTTAACTCAGCATATCTAAAATATTATTTGAATAAGTAACTGATACATTAATGAGAAATTTTTTTACTAAGTCTTCAAAAGGTGGTCTTAAACTCACTGTACTTCTTAGTTTAGCCACATTTCAAGTTCTCAATAGCTACATGTGCTTCATCATTACTTTATTAGATGCTGTAGTTCCATAGCTTTAAGGAATAAAATCCAAATTTGATATTATCCCAGGAAAAATAAAATTAGAAAGTCAAGAATGCTCTAGAGGATTAAATTATATTAATGGTTTTAATTTGCTACTGAATAGTTACAAATAATCTTTCGTTCTATTGGAAACACTAATGCATAATGTGTCAATTTAGTAAAAACAGCTGCTTTGATTTGAGTAATGATGTTTAATTAGGTTCAGTGGGGAAAGGATGAGTGAGAATCATTCATCCAGATACTTTATTTCACAAAGTCAAAAAAATGAATTTAAGATCAACTATTATATAGATATTGTTAGACTCAAGGCCAACATAATTATTTGTAGACACTTAAATATCTTAGACAATTTGAGATCCATATTTGCCTATATAGATTTATTCTTATCTTAAACATATAGGTCTTTTACTTCCCCTGCTAAACTGGAAATCATTTGAGAGCAAGAGCTCTACTTCTAAAGCACCTAGGACTTTCTTGGGAAGGGTTATAGTTCTAAATGTGCCATAATTAGTGATTAGAGAGCATAGCTACATTACTCGATTTTCTAAGTCCAAACATTGATTTAACCTTTGTTGTAGAACCACCTTGCTACTGGCTACTTCAAAAAATGGTAAAGAAAATAATAGCTCTGACTGTAGGGATTTTATATTCCAAAATTAAATGTATGTAGTTTAATATGAGCTATAAAAAATTTTCTGGAAACTTGTACTTAACTTTCCTACTTAAATATATATTTGTATGAATTCTTTTGGTACCAGGGATTGAGCCCAGGGCCCCTTAATCACTGAGTCACATACCCAGCCCTTTTTATATTTTATTTTGAGACAGGGTCTTGCTGAGTTACTTAGGGCCTTGGTAAGTTACTGAGGCTAGATTTGAACTCACGATCTTCCTGCCTCAATCTCCCCAGCCACAGGGATTACAGGTATGCTCCATCACTCCCAGCTATTTGTATGAATTCTTGAGGTAGAGATAGATAAACTAAAAAATTTGTGTCTTTAAAGCAGAGACTCGTAGGTCCTCTTATGTACTCTGTTGTACCAGCACAAATAGGCATTTGATAGACATTCAATAAATATTTGTAAAATACATGAACTAAAAGTCTTGCTTGACATTTTTTAATTATCAAGATTTTATTTAGCATGACAATACAGTTTATACTGGTAATAAATTAATATGTACAGTTATAAAAAATGTTTGGTGCTATCTAAGAAAAATGTTTTTTAATCTATGAAGGATATGCAAAATCCTTTAAATAGCTGACTTAATTTTCAAACCCAAAGTTTGGTAACATTGTTGATGAAAATTGGAAATTCTATTCCCTATAATTCATGATTCAGACAGTATTGAGTTTATAAGGGTTTCACTTGCCCTATCCGTTCTGGCAATGTCCCACAACTGAATGAGAACTGGTAGCTAGAAACTGACCCTATTTCCTATACCTGTACAGTGAGGGATCCACTGGCCTGGCCTCAGACTCCAGAGCTAATTAGACCGAGATTGGGTTAAATTGGGTTAGATTGGCGTAAATCACAGAGGTGTTCCACAAATGTCTGTGGGAGTAAATAAGGCACAAGCATCACTCAGAACTCCAATCATACCTGAAAACCTTGATTTTACTTTCTGCTTACTTGAGGATTCATTCCTGGTATGTTATATTGTAGTTCTAAAACTTAAGCAACACAGTTGATTTAAAACAAAATCATTAGGTCTGGGGATATAGCTCAATTGGTAGAATGTTTTCCTTGCATGCACAAGTCCCTGTGGGTTCAATCCCCAGCACCACAAAAGAAAACAACAACAACAAAAAAAAAACCAACATTCCTATTATTGCAATATTATCAACAGTCACTGACTGTTGTATTTCTTTTTGTATTTCTTTTCTCCTGGGATGTTTGAACTTGGGCAACTTTTCATCAACAGCAAAGAGAGTGTATATGTTAGCACCATCTACAGTGAGCTTGAGATAGTTCATTTCTCTTTGCATGTTACTGCCCACCAGAGTCAACCTGTACCCTACTCTGTTCATCTGAGCAGTCACTTTCCTTTTCAAAGTAGTGTGGATTATTTCTGGGCTGACAGTGTTCCTAAACAGCAGTGAGATTTCATCTTGTCACGAATATTCCATATAATGTACCAAGTACAACTAGCATATAATTTTTGATTTATTATGTCTCAGCCTAATGGCTGCATATAGCCATGCTGCTGCCAGATTTAAAAAAGAAAAAGTCCACTTGTTTTAATTTAAACTTCAAAGGAGTGTAGTTTGTTTATCGATTAGTATAGAACATTCATACTCTAGCAGGCTTTTCTAATTACAGGAGCCATACCCAAAATAACTTGTCAGATATCAGTACATTTTCATACACACAGCAAAGTTGTGTTTGTAATGGAAATTTTCCAATTTTCTTGTGATTATAATTTCTTTCTACTCTCAGCACTCTAGCAAAGGAAGACTAATAGTCTATCTTCATATATTTCTCCTTCTCCCTGGCAACATTTCTCTGGTAGGAGTTCATGTTTGGTTTGGTTGCATACTATAGAGGCTTATTAGATGTGCCCACATGGATATATTTATTCAGAACAGGCCTCCCATTTTCAAGTTCATTCTCTATTGTAGATACTTTGCTTTTTAGGAGTAGGGACACAATACTGTGATAGGCTAAAAGCACTGGCACCAGCCATATAGACTTGGTATTAACCCCTCTATGAAATGCAACTTCATTGGTTTTATCAGAAAATAAACAAAAATCTAGACACAAAAATATTTGCTTTGATCTGGTAAAATAATTAAAGCATTCATTTACTAAGTTGGCTTGTTTGTTTCCTTCTGTTTTTTTTTAATCTAGTGATAGTTTTTAAAGATCATAAGGAATCTCCACTTTGACCATTTCACTTTAGACTTTTCTTCCTTATTCACTTACCTGTAGCAATGGAGAATATATAGTCCATCTTTTCCTCTTTAATACCACAATAGAACTCTGTCTATGAAGTGTAACAGAAATGACATGCTGAACAGAACCTGAACGTTCTAATAATGGAGACTGTCTTTGTGATGGAACCAGAAGTGCAGTACTGATGAAGCAGTGGATTTTTATTTAAGTTAATATAATAAAGCTGATGTCAAATTTCAAAGAAAGCTAATTTTAACCATCTTAGTAACTAATTAAAAATATAATCTCTTTTTAATAAATCCTAATGACTGAGGTAGATGATACTGTTAAATCAGACACTGAATTAGGTTTAAGGTATAAAAATGATAACTAAGGGAAAGGAAAGAAAGCACTGATTTAAAATTATCTTCCTTTAAATTCAGGTGGATAATTAAGAATGTTTCCAATTCAATGTTCTAAACATGAAATCCGGGTATGACATGTCTTGGGCTGACTTTTGTATTTGAAGATGAACTCAGCAGTTGGTGAAAAGACCCACGGGCTAACAGAATGGCAAACGACGAAACAGCTGTCCCCATGAAAAAATCAGTTACTCTGCATTTGATATTTCCATCTGGGCTCATTCTCAACTCTTCAGGATGTGGATTCCTAAAGATTTCTTAAGCATTTAAGTAATTTTTTGTTAGTTGAAGGTGCTGGGGCTGTTTGTCCACACATAAATTGATCTTTGTCTTGAATCACTTTCTTATGAGAGACCAGCTAGGACATATTGCCACATCTTCCCTATTCTCCAAATCTTCCTTGGTGATGGAAAAGTTATCCCCACACAGGCAGGTGTAGAAATACATTTCGGAGTTCTCGTCATATTGTAAGTCCTTGATCTCCACCTCTTTGTGAAACTCTGCCCCATGGTTGTTGGGGCTAGCAAAAGGCTGGTGCCCCGGTGGTCCAATACCACCTCTGTTGGTCTAACTTCTCGAATGCCATCTGGGCTTGCTTGATACACTTTTATTTCTGAATTATTTCTGTTTTTGTAATCTCTTACATGTGTTGTGATTTTTCCCCTTCCCTCTCTGGCAGGTGTTATGATGCTACAACTTTTGGAGAAAGTGATTGAATTGGAAAATTGGACAGAAGGGAAAGGACTCATTGTCCGTGGGGCAAAAAATACTTTCTCTTCAGGATCTGATCTGAATGCTGTGAAAGCCCTAGGAACCCCACAGGCAAGTGTTATGTGAATTATGCATTAGGTTGTACATGTCGACTAGACGTTTAAGATATTTATATTTTATTTATGTGGTTATTAGCATTACTGGTACTCTTAAATAGCTTTCAAAGGGTCAGAGGGTTTTGAGATTTGTTTTGATTTTTGTAGAACTATAAAGAATTATAAGGTGAATGATTTAAGGGAAATAAATGGCTCTTAAGGTTTTACCAATAGGATATCTTCAAAGGGTATTCTGGTTAACAGAAATTACCAATCTTTGTGGCTTAGAAGAGCACTGAGTTATGTTGGTGTTTTTGGAGAGTGGAATTCTCTCTTTCTTGCTGTCAATATTGCTCTTGCTTGTTTCCCCCAAATCCTGCTTTGTTTCCTTCTTTTTCAGATCTTTTGATTTTTTCTGTGCAAATTTTAAAATTTTAGAAAATTTCATAATTTAGAGAAAAGTTGCAAATGTAATACAAAGTTCCCATGTACCCTGGACCCAGTTTCTCCTGATTTTAACATCTTATTTACTGTAGTACTTAGGTCGGTCACAACTAATGAACCAACATTAGTATTTTATTGTTAGTGAAAATCCACTGTATGATCTGATATCTGGAATCTAAACTCATAAAAGCAGAAAATAGAATGGGGAGAGAGGGGAGAAATGGAGTTTCACTTATATTAGATAATCAGTTCTCAAGATCTATCTTACAGAACAGTGTCTATATTTAACAGTATTATAGTGTATACTTAAAATTTTCTAAGAAGGTAGTTCTTTATGTTAAGTGTTCTTATCACATAGACATAAATAATAACAATAAAGGGATGGGAAGAAGCTTTCGTAGGTGATGGGTATGTCTATAGCCTTGATGGTGCAGATAGTTTCATGGCTAATTATCTACAAACTCATCAAGTTTTATACATTAAATATATAGTACTTTTCACATATCCAATAAAGTGGCATTAAAGAAGGACAGAAAAGAAATACC